TCTAGTCCTAAAGTTAGTTAATTTAAAGAAGTTTGGCATGTAATTATTCTCCTTTAATTGTTTCCATAAGCCTGTATGTTAGACTTATCTTTCTAGTCAGGCTAAAACTTTGTGAAGGCAAGGACAATCCATGTCTTATACCATTGCTTTTCAAGCTATTTTTTCTTGCATAATCCCTAAAATTATTTTGAAAAATTACATGCCTCTTTACACATTTTTAAGTTGAAGTGAAATATTATCATAAGTATAAGCAAGCACAAAGGATGTAATTAAATATATTGACATTGAAGATAAAAGAAAACAAAACAAAAACTATCACATGAGACTTTTAAATGTTTTTTTAAAATATATTTTATTGATTTTTTTACAGAAAGGAAGGGAGAAGGATAGAGAGTTAGAAACATCAATCAGTTGCCTCCTGCACACCCCCCTATTGGGGATGTGCCCGCAACCAAGGCACATGCCCCTGACCGGAATCGAACCTGTGACCCCACGGTCCGCAGGCTGACGCTCTATCCACTGAGCCAAACTGGTTAGGGCCACATGAGACTTTTAAATGTATCTAAAGGAATCTAAATGCTATTGTGATTGATACTTATAGCCATTCATTTGAAAAGAATACATGAAGTCCTCTTTAACTGGTGGAAATTTTACATTATTCCCTTTTCTACTTGAAGTCATGTTTCTGTTCCATATCCTTCCCAGAATTTTACCCTAATAGAAAGTATTTTATGCTTGAAAGGCAAATAAAGCATAAAATATTTACATAATTTGTATATAATAATCAAATATGTATATAAATTGAAATTAGTTTTAAATTTTTTCTGATCAGAGGCTTTAAGTGATAAAATATTTCTTCTAGAGTGCCTTATCATTCCAGTTATTCTTAGTACATAATCAGGCAAAATCAAAACCACATAAATGTATTATAAATACTTATTAAACATAAAGGAGCCATGGCTAGTGTGGCTCGGTTGGTTGAGTGTTGTCCCATGCACAGAGAGGTCACCAGTTCAAATCCTGATCAGGGCACATGCCTGGTTTGTGGGTTTGATCCCCAGTAGGGGGCATGCAGGGGGCAGCCTATCGATGTTTCTCTCCCTCTCCTCTCTAAGATCAATAAAAACATATTTAAAATAAAAAACACATAAAGGATACAATTTTTATTGGAAATTCATGTTTTTATGAGATGCATGGAACTTTTCATTTACCTATGTATGAACATTACCTATTGCTAGAAATAATAGAATGAATTCTGTTTCTGTTTTACATTTTTATATATGTAAATGCTGAGAAGACTTGTTCACATAAAATTGTAGGTAGGAATAGGAGATATTTTATTATGCAATGTCAATACTATGAATACCTTCCAAATAATATGCCAAAAAATATATATTGGTTTATTATAAAAACTAGAGGCCCGGTGCACAAAAATTTGTGCACTTGCGGGGGAAGGAGGGGTCCCTCAGCCCGGCCTGTGCCCTCTAGCAGTCTGGGACCCCTCGGGAGATAACGACCTGCTGGCTTAGGCCTGCTCCCCGGTGGCAGAGGGCAGGCCCAATCCCTAGGTGCAGCCCCTGGTCAGACTCAGAGCAGGGCCAATTGGGGGGTTGGGGCACCATCCCCTGTCACACTCAAGGCAGGGTCGATGGGGAGGTTGCGGCGCGACCCCCTGTCACGCACAGAGCAGGGCCAATCCGGGGGTTGAGGCACTGCCCCCTGTCACACACACAGCAGGGCCCATCAGGGGGGTTGGGGCTCCGTACCCTGTCATGCACAGAGCAGGGCCCATCAGGGGGTTGGGGAGCTCCCTTCTGTCACTCACAGAGCAGGGCCCATCAGAGGGTTGAGGAGCTCCCCCTTGTCACTCACAGAGTAGGTCCGATAGGGGAGTTGGGGCACCGTCCCCTGTCACACACAGAGCAGGGCGTATCAGTGGGTTGGGGTGCCGCCCTCTATCACCCACAGAGCAGGGCTGATCAGGGGGTTGGGGCGCCACCACTGTCACACTCAGGGCAGGGCTGATGGGGAGGTTATGGCTCTACCCCGTCACACACAGAGCAGGGCCCATGGGGGGGCGGGGGGGGGGGGGGTTGCGGCGCCACCCTCTATCACCCACAGAGCAGGGCCGATCAGGGGGTTGGGGCGCCGCCACTCTCACACTCAGGGCAGGGCTGATGGGGAGGTTATGGCTCTACACCATCAAACACAGAGCAGGGCCCGGGTGGCGGGAGGGGGTTGGGGTGCCGCACCCTGTCACACACAGAGCAGGGCCGATCAGGGTGTTTGGGCGCTGCCCCCTGTCACGCTGATCCCGGTGCTGGGAGGCATATTACCCTTTTACTATATAGAGTAGAGGCCTGGTGCACGGGTGGGTGCCAGCTCGTTTGCCCTGAAAGGTGTCCTGGATCAGGGTGGAGGTCCCTACTGGGGTGCCTGGCCAGCCTGGGTGAGGGGATGATGGCTGTTTGCAGCTGGTCACACACCCTTCAGGGTGGGGGTCCCCATTGGGGTGCCTGGCCAGTCTGGGTGAGGGGCTGAGGGCTGTTTTCAGGCTGGGGGTAACTGAAGCTCCCAAACGCTCCTTTTTTCCTTTTTTTTTTTTTAATTCTGGGCCAGCTTTACCTTGAGGCTTGGCTCCAGCTCTTAGGCCTCCGCTCCTGAAAGTAGGTTTCTGGCCTTTGCATACAATGTTGCGAATCTGCTGGCTGAAGTCCAGCGGTATTTGTTACAATGTTTGAAACTGCAGGCTCAGAGGCCTGCAGCGGCAGGCGGGGAACGTTGGTTTCCTCCGTCACTGAGGCAGGCAAGCCTCATGTTAGTTTCAAGCTGCCTGGCTGCCAGCCGCCATCTTGGCTGACAGTTAATTTGCATATCTCGCTGATTAGCCAATGAAAAGGGTAGCGGTCGTACGCCAATTACCATGTTTCTCTTTTATTAGTGTAGATGTTTTTCATCTCTTGTCAACTCTTAACTTGAATAGGTCTTTCTTTGTGTTGCTGAAAGCAAAGGATTAGAAATACCCTACTTAGAAAAAGACTAAGCAGTTAAACAGTAGGAATAATTTGCTTTTTTAATTTCTGAATATAATACCAAAAAAACCTTTACTAACATTTATCAAATGACTGTTAATTATACCTGTTACACTTAACACAATATACTCAGAATGTATGGGAAATAGGAAAACATTCTTGCAATATATCTGTCAATACAAGAATTTTTTGAGAAAATGATTTTATGTGTCATATGCTTTAAATATATTTTAACCAACTATTCAGAACTATGGATTTGGTTCATTCAATTTTTGGAAATTATTTACCATGATTGGCAAAAGCAGACTTTACTGTCAAAACAACCAACCAAATCATATATTTTAAAATAAAATATACTACTTTATTTATTCAAATAAACGTGCAAACAAACATCACTCTGGTTGTATTCACACTCCTGGACTCTTCCTAAGGTAGTAAGCCAAGGCATGGAGCCTTGTCATAAGGCTGTTGCGTTGATGAAATAAGGGCCCCTGCCTCCCAGGCTTTTTGCTTTCTTCTCATGGGTCTCTTTCTCAGGAAGGGTGCATTCTTTGGCAATAGATGGGAGATGTAAAGCACAACCACATTAAATGAAACTTGTCAACTGTCCTGCTTCTCCATGCTGTAATATATCTGAATACCGAACATCCCGGTATGGACCAAAATTCCCTGTTACCTCTGCCATACTTTGACAGGAAAAGCTTTGAGGCTCTACTTTGGATTTTTCATGCCTTGATTAAAGGGGGTGACCCCATCTCCATCTTTTTTACTATTGCTTGGTGCCTTAGAGGTTCTTATGTTTGCACTTAAGGGAAGATGTACCATAATAGGATTAGGCTAAGATTATGTCTGTCTTTAGAAAGTGGCATAAAATTGACTGTGAAAGGGAAAGGGGAAAGAACTAGCCTGATGGTTCCCCATAGTTGCATTCTCAGAATGATCAGTTTTTGGAAATAATAGATACAGAAGTTGTGGACCTGGATATTGATTCCTTTAAAATGACCTATGCCCACCTGGTCCTTAGGAAGTATTCAAGTTCCTACAGTGCTGTGCATGCACCAGTTTGAAAATAGCTTTCTTGTACTTCTTATTGTACCCAATAGTATGCTGATACAGAGTTGGTACTAATATTTGGTTTATATAGTAATTAACATAGGGAGGAATGATATTAAGACTATAAAAATGGTCAGTTTAGTAAAAATATATAAGCAGAAATATCTTTATTTTCATTGGCATATTCTTTTATGTTTAAGTTTTAAAAAATTTTTCTTTAAAAATTCTTTCTTATCAAATTATCTATACATTCCTGATAGTTTTGCTTAGAACACATGAAGTTCACACAGCAGTAATAAACTTCTTTTAAATATTACTGAGAGCCTGGCTGGCATGGCTCAGTGGTTGAGCGTTGACATATGAACCAGGAGGTTGCGGTTTGATTCCTAATCAGGGCATATGCCCCTGTTCTGGTTCGGGTTTGATTCCTAGTGTGGGGCGTGCAGGAGGCAGTTAATCAATGATTCTCTCCAATCATTGATGTTTCTATCTCTCTCTCCCTCTTTCTTCCTCTCTGAAATCAATAAAAATATGTTTTTAAAAGTATTACTTGGAATAATTATAGTTATTCCTATTTTGCTAACATTTCATTTGAATCATTTTCACATTTTCAAACTCTATTTCTATTCAATATTATGCCTTATATTAAAAAAGATGTCTCAAATAATCTATAAAATAAAAATTGTTGATGAGGGAAGGTCTAGAATTGAAGTTGTATTTTTAAAATCTGTCTCAACTTATTATTATGAAGGGCTATATGAATGTGGTTACTATTCAAAGGTAACCATTGGTAGATCATGTATATTTTGTAGGCGAAATGGATCTTCAGAAGTGATTACTTTAAAAATCATGAGGTAATGTAAAAACATTACAATTTTTTGCCAAAGTAGAATCTGCTGTTTATGTCATTGACAGAGAACACTTCCAAGGCTGGTTGGAAACAAGAGCAGTGGCAAGACATTCAGCAGCCTGGTGATGCTGTGTTGTCCCAGGAAACACTACCTCTCAACTTCACTGCTTGGAAATCAACAGAGGTAAGTTGCTGTAGTAGTTTCCTATTGCTGCTCTAAAAAATTACCCCAAACTTAGTGCCTTAAGTCAACACAATGTTGGAAGTCTGACATGGTCTCTGGGCTAAAGTCAAGGTGTCCGCAGGGCTGTGTTCCTTTCTGCAGGCTCTAGGGGAGAGTGGGTTTTCTTGCCTTTTTCAGCTTCTTATGTTCTAAGAGAAACTGCTTGTCTTTTATCTTTGTTTTTGTTATACAGAGTTTTAAATAAGAATAAGATTAAATTATCAGTTTCCCTTTATAGCTTGTGCATTTAAAAACTTTTTTATCCTAATATAATAAAGATCTTGTACTTTTTTTCTAAATGTTGAAATCCTTATGCCCTCTAGAATTTTACTATATAGTGTGAGATAGGACCTTGTGTTATTTGAATCTCTGTGGAAAAACAATATTTAATTTCTTGAACAGTTTATCATTTTCTACTCAGTTTTAAAAAACATTTTGTTATGAAATGATTATATTATAGGAAGTTGCAGAAATAGTATGGAGTCCCATATACCCTTCCCCTCCTACCCAATGTCCACACCTTACATAGCTGAAGTACAATATCAAAATCAGGAAATGAACATTGGTATGTTACAGCTAAATAGACTACAATTTTCAATTCAGTGTTTAGTTTTTTAACCCCCATTTGTGTGTGTATGTGTGTGCATTCTATGTAATTTTATTCTAAGTACTAGAAGCCCAGTGCACGAAATTCATGTATGGGGGCGGGGTTCCCTCAGCCCGGCCTGCACCCTTTGGCAATCTGGGACCTCTGGCTCCTAACCACTCACCTGCCTGCTCGCCTGATTGCCCCTAACCACTCTGCCTGATTGCCCCTAACCACTCTGCCTGATTGCCCCTAATTGCTCTCCCCTGCTGGCCTGATCGCCCCTAACCACTCTAGCCTCAGCCCCCGCCACCGTGGCTTTGTCTGGAAGGACGTCTGGAAGGATGTCTGGAAGACGTTGGTCTAATTAGCATATTACCCTTTTATTAGTATAGATAGATTTGTATAACCAGCACCAAAATTAAGATACAGAACTGTTCTATCCTCACAAAAGAAGTCCCTCATGCCCTTATGCTACCTACACAATCTCACCTCTGACAACCTCCCCCTGCAACTGCTGATCTTTTCTCCATCTATAGTTTTGTTATTTTTAGTATGCTATGTAAATGTAACCTTTTGAGATAGATTTTTTTTCACTCATCATAATGCTCTTGAGATCCATTCAAGTTGTTGCATGTATCAATAATTCATTCCTTTTTATTGTTTATTTTTGAAAGCACCCCATTTTATAGATAAATCAGAGTTTATTCAACTGTTCACCCAGTGAAAGGTATTTGGGTGTTCCCAGTTAGGGGCTGTTGATGAATAGAACTGCAGTGAACATTTGTGTACAGTTTTTGTATGTAAAAAAACTGTACACAAATCTCTGGGATAAATGTCTAAGAATATGATTGCTGGTTTTATAAGAAACTGTCAAACTGTTTTCCAGAGTGGCTGTTTTCTTTTCTTCTTCTTATAAAGTTTCTCAATCTGACCTTCAGTTTACTAATTTGTTCTCAGCGATATCCATTCCACTATTTATCCCATCTGTGTTCTCTATCTCAGTATTCTATTTTTACATTTGATATTTAATATTTCTATTTAATTTGTTTTATTTATTTTAATCCTCACTCAATGATATGCTTTTTATTGATTTTTAAAGAGAGAGGAAGGGGGAGAGAGAAACATTGATGTGAGAGAGAAGCATCAGTTGGCCACCTTGCACCACTATGCGCCCCAACCAGGGATCAAACCCGAAACCAGGGTATGTGCACTGACCAGGAATCAAACCCGCCACCTTTTGGTATACAGGACAATGCTCCAACCAACTGAGCCACACTGGCCAGAGCGGCTCAAGTTTTTAATCTTTCTTCTTTCTGAGTGTCCTTACAGTTCTTTCCTGCCTAATAGTTTTTCATTTGCTTCCTTCTGACACTTAGGGTCACATTCAGGACTTACACTGGCAGCTTGGGGCTCCTTCCTTGTGCCCATATCAGAGATGTTTCAGATCTGGTTCTCAGACCAATGGGCGCTGAGGATCAGTTGTGGTAAAGTTTGGTTTGTGTCCTCCACCTGCTTGGGTGTGGTACTTGAAGAGGCCACGGATCCAGGCTTGATTAATGCCCGGTTCTTTCATCTTCTTCATTAAGTAGGAGATCCCAGTGCCTGGGCATAATTTCAAGCAGTGAGCCCATATTCAACACTCCTGTCTTGCACGGGCACTTTAAATCTGTACTTATCCCTTCAGAGTTGAGCTCTAGGTTTTCTCTGCCTTTTTCTGGATCCAAAGCCCTAAAGGTCCACAGCTTCCATCTCCTTACCATTATGTGTTTCTGTTATGCTCTTATCCATGAAAATGTTCATCTTGTGTTTGACCATGACTGTGTCCTTCATGTTCACATTTGCATTTTCTCTTTCATTGCTATGTGTTTGGAAGAGGAAGGTATCCCCAAAGTATGAACCAAACTTATAGAACCGTCTGGATTGGAAATCTGTTCCACTCAAGACTATATGAAATTATCTTACTCACTCACTTGTTTTTCCGTTTGGTATGTGTTTCTCCTACTAGAAGGAAAGCTTCTTGAGACTAGAGACCTTTTTCAGTTTTATTCATTACAGAATTGTTAGCTGCCACATTTTTTTTAATGAAGAAATGAATGAATAGTAGACTTTCAATAGTAACTTCCTTCTCTTCCTTTCCTGTGAAAGAGGCTTGTTTGGTCTCCTGCTCTGAGTGCTTTGTTTAGTATTCGCTGCCACAGTTCCTGCGAGGGAGAGTGGAATTATTTCTTGACCTTCTGTTTCCAACTCCTTTCCCCAAGCCAATTAGGTACTGGATTTATAGCAGCTTTGAAAAGTACATAAAATTAAAATTTCACTGTTCCTTAATTGCATAATAGCCCATAGATTGAAAATGTCTAGATTATTTTAAAAGATATGACATTAAATCAAAATGATTTTTAAATTTGAGATCAATTTATTTGTTGCTAATGGCTTTTAAGGGAGAAAATCGACTGGAATAATCTTGCATGCATTGGAGCCTAACAGAGATATAAAGTGCGACTTAGTCATTTTTTGTATCGGTCATTAACTTCTCATTTTGTTTGTTTTTCTTACTTTAGAGGGTGGTACAGTAATTGATTTACATCATTCTACATCTTATATCAATGAGTAAAAAAATGGTTCCCTTCCCGCAAAGGAAGTTTAAAGCTGCATTTCCCTTTTTCAAAACATTACTGCTGACAGGCACCTCCTCTAATGACTGTCAGGAACATGTGATGCCACCCAATATTGGCCTCTTCAGAAATCTGTTCTTGCAGCAGAAGACAAGAGCTATCATGTTGAACAGTAATCCTAATTGTTGTTGCCAAATATACTGCATCTACATTAAAATTCTCATGTTCTTTTTTTAAAATATATTTTATTGATTTTTTACAGAGAGGAAGGGAGAGAGATAGTTAGAAACATCGATGAGAGAGAAACATCGATCAGCTGCCTCCTGCACACCCCCTACTGGGGATGTGCCCACAACCAAGGTACATGCCTTTAAACAGAATCGAACCTGGAACCCTTGAGTCCGCAGGCTGACACTCTATCCACTGAGCCAAACCAGTTAGGGCAAATTCTCATGTTCTTAATAGAGAATGAGGAAGAAATGATATTGTTGGTTGCTTAGGCAGAATGAGGAGTGCTTAAAAATATCTTTTAAAAACTTTAAATAGAAACCTCTTTAACTATTTTCTTTCTAGAAATGAAAGAATTATCTAACAGCAGTAATAGAACATGGCTTTCAAAGGCAGAGCGCTGCTTGCCTGCGTAAAGGAAAGCCTTTACGTGCATGGCCCTGAGACATGGGTGTGTTTTCTCTTTGCGTACTGTCCAGAATTTTTCTTATTAAGTCTGCTAATTAATAAGGCCGTTTGTAGCTTTTCACCACCTCAAAAAACCTTCCTCTTTTCCTGTTGGAGGAGATGCAACAATGAGGCTATGACTTTTTCGGTCACAGTTGTTCCCATAGCAACAGATAGGGATGCTATGAATTGATTCACACAAAATTAAAGGTGACCAAAGCCTTCAGTCTCCTTGTGAGTTGCTAAATTGCTAGTGATAGAAGATACATATTTATTTCCTACTGCCTTCATTTATTATTTTGCTAAATTAAGAATAAACAGGTTTTATCTTTGGGTTTATTAGCATGTCACTTATTATATTTGTAAAAATTTGAACTCATCAAAGCTGTTAGAAAAGACAGAACTAGAGACAGAAGAACTTCGCTGGAGAGAACATGGCAAAAGATCCTGGACTGAACCTGACTACAGAAATGGGCAAGAGAACCTGACTAGAACCTGGTGACTGAACCTGGCTGGAGAACCTGGACTGAACCTGGCTGGAGAACCTAGCAAGAGAACATGGACACAGAACCTGGCTGGAGATCTGAAGCAGAACCTCTCTGGAGATCCAGACCAGAACTTGGCTGGAGATCCTGGTAGGCTGCTGATCAACTGAACGCTGCCTCCATGTCATTCCTTCTTTGCCGACTCCGTCCACACCTTTGGGGACCCCTGGACCCGCTGGGGTTGGACCCCAGCATATGGCGCCCGAACAGGGACCCCTAGGTAAGCCCCACTCTCGGGATGGATAGGACTTCACCGTAGGAAGAGGGTGGATAGTCTTCGCCGACTCCGTCCACACCTTTGGGAACCCCTGGAACAGGATTCCCCTAGGTAAGCCCCCCCATTGAGAATCCCCACATTCGGGACGGATAGGACTCCACCAGGGTGCTACAGACCCCCCTATAGAGGATAAGTAGGGTAAGAAGGTGGATAGTACAGAACATAGACTGAGAAGATGTGCCATACTGAGTCCAAAGAAAGAAGACTCTGTATTGATCTTTAGATTAAGAAGATGTGCCATACTGAGTCTAAAGAAATAAGAC